GTGTTATAATCCCACCTAACCATAAGAGAGAGAGAGATAGAGAGAGCAAATCGAAAAAACCTTAGCAGACCGCGAAAGCCATTTTTCTCGTGGGCATCGAAAACCAAACCCCCCCCTCTCTCGATCTAATCATTATTTGTCGAAGTGATGGCCTGTGCAAGCTTTGTAAAGCTTAACGCAGCGTCGTCTTCATGGACGGGCCAAAAGTCATCTTTCGGGAAGCGATCTCCGGGATCCTCAACTCACCGAGTCTCCTTCTCGATCCGCGCCAGCTCTTACACTGACGAGCTCGTCCAAACTGCTGTTAGTTCCATCTTTATTTTTTTCTTTTAAATTTAGATATGTTTTTTACATCGTTGATGCTTGGTCGTATCTGCTGGTTGACAATTCGAATATCTGTTCGAACTTGCCTATAATTAGATTGCTTGGAATATTTCTATTCTTATGTTTATTAAGCTTCTGTTGAATTCAGGCATCATAAATAAGTTGTTTTTGGTCTTGATTGTTGAATTAATTATATTTTTTTAATACATGTTTATGCTTTTTAAAATGTAATTATTTCTATATTTGCATGTATATGTTAATGATTTTTGTCATCTATTCCTTTCAATATTTTCGGTTCTGTATAGTGCTTCAGTATTTCATTTTTTCTTTTTACCCAGAATGGGGGGAGAAGTAAACCAAAAGGAAAAGAAAGAATTGTGACATCATTTGTTCTATTTACTTAGTTTATTCTGCGAAACTGAATTTGGCTTCTTGCTTGATGTTGTAGAAACTCATTGCATCACCTGGTCGTGGTATCCTTGCCATAGATGAATCAAATGCAACTTGTGGGAAGAGGTTGGCATCTATTGGCTTGGATAACACTGAAACTAACCGACAAGCATACAGACAACTTCTACTGACCACTCCTGGCCTTGGTGAATACATTTCCGGTGCCATTCTCTTCGAGGAGACACTATACCAGTCTACAACTGATGGAAGGAAGTTCGTGGATTGCCTGCGTGATGAGAACATTGTACCTGGCATCAAAGTTGACAAGGTACACGGTCAAAAGAACGTGAAAATATAAATCATGTATCCGAAGAATTTGATCTTACTTGGTTTTTACTTTTATAGTGAGCTTATATGTGTGTGGTTATGCATCTTTTTATTGCTTCAGGGTTTAGTTCCCCTGCCAGGATCAAACAATGAGTCTTGGTGCCAAGGTTTGGATGGATTGGCCTCAAGGTCAGCTGAATATTACAAGCAAGGCGCACGTTTTGCTAAGTGGTAAGTCTGTTTTAGTGCTCTCTTACCTTGTTGTGCCTTTGTTTATCCATTTAATTTGTCTACAACGTCAACAGCATTCTATATGCCTCATGTTTTATTGTTGCATGATCACATGGAATATCCAGGAGGACTGTTGTCAGCATTCCTTGTGGCCCTTCTGCTCTGGCTGTCAAGGAAGCTGCATGGGGACTTGCACGATATGCTGCCATTTCTCAGGTATTCTTTCTTGTCATGGCACATTACTCACTGACATCTCAAAACTGTTTGCAACGTTGTCTTTTTTTCTTTTACATATTCTTTTCTTTTGTGGGAGAGGTAGGGGTAATTTGTGGCTTTGGTGATTAATGCTACTCGGAATTAGTTCCAAGTGATTAGCAATTTGGAATGTTGGTGGGAACTTTACTCATAAAAATTTGTTGACTTTTCTTTCTACTTAGGGCTTGTTTGGGATTGTGGTAACAGTTGTGATTCAAAATGCTTTTCGCTGATAAATGCATCAAAATAATATATATTTTTTTATTTTTTAAAAATTATTTTTTAATATTAGCATATCAAGGACTTGAAAACACAAAAAATAATTTTCAGCAAAAATTTTTTTTTCAAAATTTAAGGGAACGCGGTCTGCACCGCGTTCCCAAACAAGCTCTTAAGTAGGCAATGTCATGTAATTATATCCACTCATTTTAAAACTATATAATTTGAATTTTTGAGGTGCATTGCTATCCTTTGTTGATGATAAATTTTATGTGCAGGATAATGGCCTTGTGCCCATAGTTGAGCCTGAGATTCTGCTTGATGGGGACCATCCAATTGACAGGACCCTTGAAGTTGCTGAAAAGGTCTGGGCAGAAGTCTTTTACTACTTGGCTGAAAACAATGTTGTGTTTGAGGGCATCCTACTTAAGCCTAGCATGGTAACGCCAGGGGCGGAACACAAGGAGAAGGCTTCCCCAGATACCATAGCCAAGTATACACTAACAATGCTTAAAAGGAGAGTACCTCCTGCAGTTCCTGGCATCATGGTACGAATGCTGGAACCCTAATTTCATCAGGAATCTAAAATGATATACGTTATTTCATGTATACTTCAGTTGCCTCTTCTTACCATGTGAAATCGAATCATTAAGGTCTTAAGTGCCTAGCATACATCCTATTAGAAGGACCAGCTTATAAATTGAATGCTGATTGACCCAATCACCATTCACACTTTGGTCTAGAGTGTTGCCAAGTGTCCTTTGCAAGAGATTTTAAACTTCTGCTGGTGAAAGGAGATGAATACTGAATTCTTGAAAATTGGATCCAATTTATTGCGGTAAACATGTTGATTTGAGATGGTAAAACTCTAAAAGATAGTAAAGTTGTCTGTGCAATTCTCTGTATACAGTCTATTTGAATCTTTGTTGAGTCATTGACAATGATTTAAGAGTTGTTTGACATGTATGCTGCTTCTGTTAACTTTTCAGTTTTTGTCGGGAGGACAATCTGAAGTGCAAGCAACACTAAATCTCAATGCAATGAACCAAAGCCCCAACCCGTGGCATGTTTCCTTCTCATATGCACGTGCACTGCAGAACACCGTGCTCAAGACATGGCAGGGACGCCCTGAGAACGTGGAAGCTGCTCAGAAATCACTTTTGGTGCGTGCCAAGGCTAACTCGCTGGCCCAGCTTGGTAGATATTCCGCTGAGGGTGAAAGCGAGGAAGCTAAGAAGGGAATGTTCGTAAAGGGCTACACCTACTGAGCAGCATTAACCAAACTAGCTTGTGGGTTCCAATTAGTGTGTAATCTGCGATTTTCATTGTTCCTTTTTGTGTGCTAGCTATGCAAGCTGAGAAATTGCAACATTAGAGGATAAGCTTCTTTGTTTCCTTCGCCTTTGTGGATAACACACGTGTGAAAGGAGAAACTTTTACAAACTTTTTTTTTTTACAAAGTTTGATCAAGGAGGTGGGTTCGGTGAGAGGAAGAATATCCATGGACCCTAGAGACTCTTCTTGTTCGTTTCCATAAATGCAGCCCATCCCGTTTCCTCCCTGGGTGAGTTATCAGTGTGTTTGTATTTCAACGTTAAGAATTAAATGCTACCAATTGTTTTTCTTTCTTACCCTTCTTTTCAAATTCATTAAATAGTCCAGCATTTTTGTTCGCGAATAGATCCTTGATTTGAATTTATGCTATTTTCAATAATACTAAATATTGTGGAAAAAAATGACAATAAAAAACTTAAATAATGCAATGTACCGTTGTATTACTTAGATTTTTTAATAACTGGGCAGGTCAAGAAAAAAAAAAAAAACAACAGATCAGGTTTATGATAGGATGTTATTCTATAATAAAAAAGCACATGCCTTTTTTTTAAAAAAAAACGAACCTGCGATTTTCACCCAGTTAGTGCGTTGACCAATTCAGCCAAGAGATAAATATGTTATCAAATAATTAAAATGATATATTAACCTTTTTCACTGTTAAACTCAACCAGTTTTTTTTTTTATTTAGTTGATAATAGTTTTATACCATTCCATTTTTTAATATCATTTACGGGAATAAGTTTTATGAAGCTACCATTTAGAAATAATAATAATAAAAAAAGAATTGATGAAGTTGTAGAGAAGATTCATGAAAAATATTGATTTTTCCTAAACGAGTTATACACCTAAACCATGCTTATAAAACAAGTGTCTTATAGAAAGAGAAATACTCTCGTGCTCAAGTTAATATTTCAATTTTTATCAAGTGATAAACAAATAAAATTCAAAAAGATAAAAGTAATGTTTTTATGTTTAAATAAGAGATGCTTGTTCTATATTTATGTTTTTTATACAATGAAAAAATGTAGAGGTAAGAGTTAAGACCTTGCTCTCTCTTTTACAAAACTTAAAAATTTATAACTTCAAAAATGTATGATAAGTATCTTGATAATATTTAAAAAATCATCAGGTTAAATATACAAGAAAAACTATTATTCAAAAATAGTTTGGATGGTATCATGCAAATAATATTATTTATAAATAATAAAATAAGATAACATAGGATAGCTCTATCTTATTAAACCAAAAAAAAAACGAAAAAAGAGAGGAGCTCAATCGAACCAAAATTGATAATTTGAAATTCATTTTAAATAAGCTTTATATAATAAATATTATTTATAAATAATAAACAAGACTGTAAAAAAAGCTAACATGTAAGAAAGAAAAAAAATTAAGGAAGAAAAAAAGATAAAGTTGAGTCCAACTAAGTTAGAGGTCTCGTGACTAGGAAAAAGAAAGAAGAGCACTAGAAAAAATCAATTGGATCATGACCATGACCTATAAACATGTTGAATTTGACTGTTCTTTTGAAAATATATTTTTTTATGAAAAAAATAATTTAAAAAGGTTTTTTTTAATGAAATTAAAAGAGACTATTACATGTAAAATGTTAAAAGCTCACACCAAATAGCTGCTAAGCTTCAAAATGAACTTTTAAGAGAAATATGTCTCTTGCAAATTATAAAATAAATCAAGTTACTTGAAATCTATTTGATAAAATATTCATTTGAATTTGATCATCAAATAAACAAACAAAGTTAGTTACAACAACTCAATTATTTTTATAAACAAGTTTGAATAATTTAATTAAAACCTAGTTCAAAATACCCATGAACATAAAGTATACCATTTAAACATTCATTATTTTTTTAACAAAACAATATCTTATTACGCAATAAGTACTTAATACATACAAGTTGAAGAATTAAATGACTTTACCAATCTAAATTAAAAAAATAATTATACTAAATTTATTTGACCCTTTTGTGTTCGTGAGCAAGTGCAAACCCCATCCAAAAATTAAAAAATCAAAACACTATTTTTTAATTTGGGATTATGCTCGATTTAATTTACTTGGCTGATCACAACTTACAGATCGCAGCCCTTTCCTGAGCAGTTGGAAGGGGAGAATTACATTTCCTTTTTAAGCAAAAATCGCTAATTAAAAAAAACGAAAGAGGAAAACAAGAAAGTGTGCAAAAAGATGGACCCACCTAAATCCACGTGTTATCTCAGGTGCTCCCGGGCGTGTGAACATAGATTCCATCGTTTGGAATTGAAAGAGCCAGTAAACTCAACTCAACCAGTTAAGCCCGCGCGGCACCAAATAAACAACCTCGGGAAATGGGAATCATCAATCAGAACATGCAAACTTTCCCCACCGAAACGACATCGTTATCTCACCTCGCATGCTTTCTTCTCCTCTTCATTCATCTCCCTTGCAAACCATAAAATTCTCACTATCTGCCTCCTCCACGGAAACGAGAGACCGGCCGCCGCCTTCCTCACACTGCGCCGTTTACGTCCCTCCACACTGCCGTCTCCGTTCCCTCGGCTCCACTCCCTGCTGTCACTCCTCCTCCACTGCTCCTTCTCCTCCAATCAACTCCAAAATGCGCTACGGTCACAGCGAGAGCATTGCTGTTTTAAGCCCTAGAAACTGTCCTCTTCAACAGCAACAGAGAAAAGGCGTCGGCGTCGCTGACAATAATAAAAACGGTAATAAGAAATTGGCACCAATGTTATCTCAAAATTAGTTTTTGTCAAGTTTTTCTTAAATTGGATGTGATTTGGGATTTCTTTTTGTAGGAAAATAAAGTTACATGTATTTTATCAAATTTATCTCAATTTAATAGCCATCATCACTAATTGTTATGCCCTGATTCCAATATATTCTCCACCTTTTCACAAATAACATCTCCTCAGCTCGAACTTGTGTCTAAATGTTTGATTCGACCAAAATACCCCTAATATCATATATATACAATTTTTAGCCATGTTTTTTTTTTAACGCTAATGGATTTGTAATTTATTCCTAAAAAAATAGGTACACTTTAGTTTTTACTAATAACCTAATTATTTTTATTTTGATGACATTTATGATTTAATTTTCCTAAAGCAAAATATTTTTCACATAAACACTAAACCAAACTTTTTTAATTTTTTTTTTTTTAACCATGTAAGAAAATTGTATGATATTTTTAAAATTATTAGTTTAGGAGTTCTTACGATAAATATAAATGAGATGTTCAAGTATTAAATATTGAATCAATTTATGAAAAAATTATAAAGACTATTAATTATATAGTTGAATGTATACGTGCAAAGCACTTGGGATGAAAACTAGTTTAGAAAAATATTCCTAATAAATATGATGTCCCAGGGATTACACTAGCAGACCCTCGTTAGACCTCTGTTCATGACACCATCACTTTTGATGTCAGAGTTAATGTTTAAAGATTTCTTTTTGTTTTTCACCTTAGATAATATTTGGCTTATTTTATTATTGCATTGCTTAATATCTCAACTTAGATAATTGCAGGTTCATTTGCATTAAATTGGGTTGTTTATGTGTTTGTCGGTGGAGAGGCTTTGTGTCCATATTGTTAACTAGAGATCATGGCGTGATAAGTGGTTAAATGTCTGGATTGCACCTTGTTAATTGTCATGTGGCAGAGCTCAACTTGGCATTTTTTTAACAATGTGGTGGACCACAGAGGAATTTTTGAAGTATCTTCCCTGGGGTTGCAAATAAGATTTGGACAATGATATCATTAGTTGCAGACCATATTTGGAGCATCCTTGTGCTTGCATATAATTTGTAAGTAACCCTACTATGGGGAAACAATTGTCCCTCAAGCCCTTACTAGTGTGTGTTCATGCAGGCTATTATTAGGTATATAATATCCTAACCCAAAACCACTTCTTACTAGTGGATACTGGTCCAGAAGTAAGACATTCTAACTCTCCTCTTCATTGAGGTTGTGAATAAGTCTGGATGATGCAAGGTAATATACGCAGAGAGTCAGAGTGCTTGCAAAGATTGTCCGTGATTCTAATGTCTATTCATAATTTGGTTAGGGACAATGCATTATTTATTATAATACAACTTAAGATGCTTAGATTTCTTTTTGAGGTTTGAAATTCTGCAATTCTTTGTGGTCTGTTTCTGATTAAATTCTGAAAATCATTGAAGTGAATTTTGTTTTCTCGTTGCCTTTAGGAATCTCCAGAAGGCAGCAAAATGCTTGAATTTTGTAAAACTCTTTCTGCCTACAAATAGAAGGATGCCATTTTGAAAGCCATTTCACAAAATCAGGGTGGTAATGCACAGGTCTTTTTTTTTTTTATTTCGTTATAAGTTGTTTGTTGGCAACTTCAAATGGAAATCTGTGGGCATTGATTAAGTTGAATGAAGGCATCTGTCTGTGTTTCTAAGCAATGAATCTATTCAGCATAATGGTCAACGAATGTATTCAGCATGATGGTCAATGAATGTATTCAGCATAATGGTTAAGAGCTCACACTTGGTTTATTATATTTTTTTGAGTTTCCTTGTCTGCCATCCATCTCTCCTAGTAATAAACCTCTTTTGAAGTTCATTGTAACAGCTGAAAATGTGAGCTGCCTCGGTTGTGGATAAAATGCTATATTGGTATACAAATATAGGCAGAAACAGCACACCAAAGTTCAAAAGTGATCATTTGACTTCTAAAACTCCGGGAAAGAGTTTGGCCACATGTCAAAAAATGAAAGTCTGTTCAAATGGCTTTTAACTTATCAATACGTGCCTATAAAAAGGTGCATTATTTGGTTGAGATGGTGCGGTATCGGGATATTTCCATTGTTATTGATCTTATTTAAACCTTTAATTTTTACCATTTCTTTCCCAAAAATATGTCTGAAGAAATGTAGTTATTTGCCAGTTGGCCTACTGGTTACTTGCCTGGGCTAGCCCACTCTATTGGCTAAAGCAGAATAGTTATTCTCTGGGCAACTTCTCGTTCAAGCCTGGGCACTCAATGGCTGAAGATAGTTTATCTATTAGAAAGAATATGAAACTATAACTTTTGTAGTTGGTTCACGGTTAATAGACAAAAAAGGGCAAAGGAACAAAATAATGGACATTATTCATGCAAGTTGTAATACATAAAAGGAAGAATCTAGAAAAAGGGATGCTGGACTATCTGCTTAAATATTTTACCGTATGACATATATTTGATCTGAGGGACGGGATGTGACTATTTCTGGATCTTGGAAGAATGCCATTTTCATGTTTGTTTGTTTAACTGATATTGCAAAATTGCCTTCAAATTCATGTTTACAAACCATGTTGGTTTTCTTTTATATTTTGTATAATGTAGTGAAGAGGAAGAGCTGGCTGTGTCCAGTCAGGAGAATGTTATCATCTCTATCCTAGATGTGTATATGATGCTTTTGCATAGTACCAATTGCCAGAAATTCTGAGAACCCCTTTGCAGTCTCTTTGTCTACAAATCAAAAGTCTAAAACCTGGAAGTATCTCTGACTTTCTATCTAGGGCTAGTCGCCTGAGTTATTAGCAGTACCCTTGATTTTGTCTCCTTTCTTTTATATTAATGTGACATGCTTGGGCTTCCTTTTTTTTTTTTCTCCATTGTGGAAATTATTGTCAACTTCACCCTTCACTCAAGCAGATTTCCCATGCCTCCTTCTTTGACCTTTTGTTTTCAATTTATGTATCATAGGTTCATAATGCAATTGAATACTTAAAAATCATTGGAGCCTTGGATCAGAATGAAAATTTGACTGTTCTAGGTAGATCTAAATTTCTCTATATTTTCTTTATCATTTTTAAGATTTGTGTAACTTATGCTATTGCAAAAAGATTTATTGATGGTAAGATTTAGTTTTATTCAATCTGACTATCTCCTGGCAGGTCGACATTTGACTATACTTCCACCGGAGCCTAAGCTTGGAAAGATGCTCATTTTAGGTGCTATTTTGAATTGTCTGGATCCAGTACTGACTGTTGTTACAGGCCTTAGTGTTAGAGATCATTTCTTGATGCCATTGGACAAGAAAGATGTAAGTTAGCTTCCAAATCATATGTTGTTTGACGAAAGTTGTATGCTGTGTGCTTTGATTAGGATAAAAGCAATTTTTTCTCCTGAAGAGTGTTATTTCAGATTTTATGGTTGGGTCTGCTATTGGATTCAATGGGCTGCACATAAATGCATTACACTCTTTTCTTAATAGCTCATGAGTTGTGATTGAGCGCGCATCTATTTCCCATAAGTTGTTTTTGTCAAGATTGCACTTAGGCTCAGGTACTAACAAATGGCATGCAAGTGGTTGTCACCATAGTGAAGTGGGAAACAAATGACACTGCTAAAATTGGAGTAACTAAACATCTGCTCAGCTACTGTCCTGATATAGATTTAGCATAGCAATGACTGGCAAGGTAGCAGTTGGATTGCCTCCACTACTAATACTGGCTGGCAACCCTGCATCTTTGATGCTTTGGTTGCCTGAAGATATCTGAAAACTCTCTGGAGCGTGGGACTTCAGCATAGTGATACTGAAGTCAGATGTGCTGCTGATTGTTTTTTATTTTTATTCTTACAATTGGACATCATTTAATGTCTGTTTTGTGCTATGCAGCCAGCAGAGGCTGCGAAATCTCATTTTTCCGGTGATTATAGTGACCAACTGGTGCTTGTCCGAGCCTATGAGGGCTGGAAAGCTGCTGCAAGAGATCTTTCTGGTTATGAGTGCTGCTGGGAAAATTCTCTCAGTACAATCTTTGAAAGCTATTGATTCTCTTCAGAAGGAGTTCTCCTTGCTCATGGATATACCAGCTTGTTGATGGCAACCCAACCACCTGCAATTCATGTAGCCATGACAAGCATCTGGTTCGAGCAGTTCTTTGCTATGGCCTCTATCCTGAAATTTGCTCCAGTATGGTGAGTCATTTAATATATTTTTGTCTTCTGTTTTTTGAACTTTCATATCATCTCCATGAATAGTGACTGTATAGGTCACAATTTTTTCTGGTTTGAAGTGGCCTACTTATTTTATCAATATGCTGTTTAGATGATGTTGTGAGGAAAGAAGGATGATTACCTTAATTTTGTGTTATTTTCACAATCATGTCTGCTGACTTAATTTCATGTGCAGCACAATGAAAAGTCATTTTCGCTGAAAACCATGGAGGATGGCCAAGTGCTTATGCACTCTGTAAGTTCCTTCTTCCTGATTGTTTCTCGTCTCTAAAGAAATGATTGCAAGGTGCTCTGTGTCTTTTTTCTCTTGTAATTGCTTCGTATTTTCTCTCTGCAGAACCCTGTTACTGCTCGAGAACAAAATAATCCTTATCCATGGCTGGTTTTCAATGAGAAGATAAAAGTCAATGCTGTTTTTCAACAGCTGTTTCTGATTCAGTGTTGCTTCTATTTGGCAGGAGCATCTCTAAAGGGGATTCTGTGAGTTTTTCTTAATCTTTTTAGAATCTCATGTTTGCTGGAGTTGCATCACTGCATGTGGTGGTTTTCATCAACTGACTGTTTATCTATGCATAATTCTCCAACAGGATGGGCACTTAAAAATGTTGGGAGGTTATCTGGAATTCTTCATGCAACCAGCTGTACCAGAAATGTATCAGAGCTTGAGGAGACAGCTTGAAGAGCTGATTCAGACCAACGTAAGCTAATGTTGGATGGAAACTCTTTCACATATTTTTACATTAATTTTGAAATGTTTTGTGCTCAGAACTGTTCTATGTTGCACATTATCATTTTATCACTGTTATCCATCCTCTCTAGTGAAAAGCAACTGTTGAAGAGTTTGAGATTGTGAGTTTCTGTTAATTTTTCATGGTGAATATGGACAGCTACTGAATCCCAGGATGGACATACACATGCATCATGAGCTTCTCTCTGCAGTGCGGTTATTAGTTTCATAGGATCAGTGTGATGGCAGATTTGTATCTGGTTGCCAAGTCTTTAAACCCTCAAAACCAACTGTTTTGGCAGCACAGCCTGCCTTAATTTTGAGGAGCAATAGCGGACCTGGAGGTGATAATTCTAAAGTCAGCTCCAGACATTGCTCACCAGGGCAGGATGTGCTGCACCATCGTACAAGACAAAGCAATCGAAGAACAACCAATTTCGAGCCACCATTGAATTCAATGGAATGCAAATTATGGGACAGCCTTGCAAAAACAGGAAGAGTGCAGAAAAAGACGCTGCAGTGGCTGATGGGTGGGACCCAGACAAGCCAAGAATACCAATCACATGTCAATGTTGCTGAAGAAGAGCAAAAAGGATCATTACTAGAAAGCATTGTGAAGCTGCCTATAGACTGCTTTTTTGGAGAGACACTAGCTGAATTGTTGGTGCCTAGCAATTCCGGAACACAAGGAAATGTAGTCTTCTTGTTATGTAGGTCCAACTACCTTTCTCCCTTCTTAAAGATGAAAAAGATGGTCGAACAACAATGTCACTATAATAAACCTAATCGTATCTTGATAAAGGGTTATGGCCATTACCTGTTGGACAGATTCTTCAGTCCACCACAGGAGCTGCATGCTAATGGTGATAACTGGTGGGTGATTTGGAATATGAAAGAACCTGCATTTAGACGTGGAGTTGAACTGAGTAGTTGACATTGAGAGGACTGGTATGGATTTCTCTACTCTATCCAGTTTATGCTTTTGCTGTTGGAGCTGCATGATTGATGATGACTGAAAGCGTGATCTGAGACTGAATACTGTTGAGTGGTCTCACTACATCACTGAAACTACACACCGACTTTAGATTGGAATCAGGGCCAACCCCTATTTCGAGTCCATTATTCATTTTGATTGATTTCTGTATAGTTAGATGAAAAAAATATTAGGATATCTGGAACATCTTGGGGGTTGCGTATACGAATGGGTCCATTTTTCATACATGGTACCAAGCAACTTTCCTTGTTATGAAAGGATCCAGTGTACAAGACCTGTTATTCTGCATGCATTATATTGTTCGTTTGCATGTTTGTTGTCTTTAAGTTGAAAGCGGAAGGATCCGAGTTTGTACTAAAGATTTGGCTTGTGTTGATAGGAATGAAGCCACCGTGTGGGGTCCTTAAAACCTCCCCACCTTACTCAAATTCTGCGCATTCGAGGAGATTTTAGGCAGTGGTTGCTTGATCAATGCTTTGTGTTCGGTTCATTTAGGTAGATTGGATTTCTTTTTTGAGAGGTTGGCTGTAGTGAAGTTCTTCCAGTCTCGGTGCCCAATTCTACACGGAAAACCGAGCAAGGGGCGAACTTGACTGTCATTATAAATCCTTTTGATGGCCATTTGACTTGACAACAGGGGATTTGAGTCTTGAGATGACAATTGGTTACACAGCTGTAATTAGATGTTTTGAGTTTCGACTTGAATGTCATTAACTTCTTTGTCATCAGTCATCTTAATTTGATCGTTAATGGGTGACCACCACAATATCTTAGGCCTCCTGTCTAGATTTTATAACGACAAGAAGGTACTGACAAGGAAATCTGAAAAAGAGATGAAGACTCATACATCATCTATTATTTTCTTTACATGTCGCTCGTCGTGGAACTCAGACTAGTGACGGACTGAGCTTGATCCAAGTCTCATTCTAACTGATCAAAACATGACTGCCTCAGCGCCTAAGCTTCAAAGCGAAGCCAGCACAGATTATTGCTAGGGAGGTCCTGTACTGGGGTCTGGCTTGCTTGTCCGTGACTATAATAAAAATATCCTACACACACACACACCCCACGGCATCTGTTGCATTTGCATGTGATATTGGAGATGAGCTGTTTACTGGGGACTCTTTGAGACCGTCGACAGATCTGTTGATTCATATAAAAACTGTATTCTTTTCCACAGGCATCACTAGAGATAAAATTAACTTTCCCAAATCTAAGCAAAAAGAAACATAAAATAAAAAAGGAATCGTTCTTGACTTTTTTCTAAAAGATAAAGGAAAATAAAAAATAAACCCGAAGCTCATCATCAACCGATTATTCTCCACCACTTGTCATGGGATCGATCTCTTGAATTGTATTATAAAATTACATGACCGTCCTCGAAGGGCGACATTGATTTTGCTGTCGGTAGAGGCCAAGGTTGATTAGGTAAAATAATTTTGAAAAGAGTGGAATCTGACAGCAAGACTACGAGACAGGTTGGGCGAGGTATGCTCTTGATGTCGAGATGCTTTTCTCATAAGAAAAATTATTTTTTTCTGTAACTTATTAAATTAAATTTTGCTGGGCATTACAGGGGGAGGAAACTGGAAGTCAGAAAGTGGAAGCAAAGAAGTGTTATTGTCTGGAATCGCATCATCCTCATAGATACTTTGTTACTACAACTTATGAGGTATTGCTAGGTTAGTGCCCCCAATGACCCGATTGAATGTGACCCTAACCATGTGATGAAGCATCCTCGTCGTTACGCTGTAACGTTGCCGGGGTGTCGGGCCATTCGAAAATTGACAAAAGTTAATTGCCCGAAGGAACTGATATCAGTGTTAGGGGGCCCTTGATGTTTTGTTCCATTTCTTAAATTGCGTGGATCGTTTTCAATGGTTGCAAGAATGAGGAGCTCCTTGGGCCACATTTTGCTAGTTTGAAATCACAATCACAATCCCATGGCATTTTAATAGGCTGAGAAAGAGTTGGGGTCATGCATGTTTTTTCGAAGCTTTTAACATACGGGGCAGGGCAAGTGGGGAAGTTTGCTGGTAGATGAAAATATCGATGGTGATAGTAAGGCCTCGTCTGTCCTCGGAAGGATGTGACGTTCTAGTTCTGGTTCCACATTGTTTAGCCCAGCTTTGTCAGGGGTGAAGAACTCTTTTCCTGTTTGTTTTGCTTTTCTGCGTAGGCGTAGTTTTTGGCGTAACATCAGAGCATTCTCTCTAGTTTTGTGTGTTCCGTGAGGTTCTTTTAAAAAATTATTGATGACTTAACAGCCACTTTTTTTAAGATACACACACACACCATACAAAATTTATGATTTTCTTTTTACAGAAATACGTGATGTTCTAATGAATCTAAATTTCAATTCGATGAACACTAATTCATCGGCACCTCTATAAATGTTATAAGCACATAATCATAAGATATTATCCTAATGATCAGTGAGATACGGTTTTTATTTGGATTAAAAGATGTTAACAAGTAAATTATTTACATGAGTCCTTCGATCCCTCATACCCAGTTTTGTGCCTTTTTTTTTTGGTAGCCTCAGAGTACCCGACCTGAAAGCTATCCTAGCTTGATCTCTACATACACCGGTATAGAGCTAGCATGGATTTTCTCTCGGCTTCACCCCTAGGAGCTTCGAACCCAATCTTGACCGTCTTGGAATCGATCTCAGCTCCATGTAACCCCAGGTGGTCTGGTTTTGGTCTTGGCTCCGCCTCCGGGTGCCTTGCATTCGGTTGGAATCCAACCTTAAAGGTCTCAGAATCAATATTCATATTACCTTGATATGACTCCTAAAAAGTCAGTTTTGAAAATCAATTTTGTTATTGAAGATAAATAAAAAAACAAAAACAAAAACAAAACAATATTGCTGTCCATTATCTGGGTTCTTTTAATATATTTTTGTTAACTAGCATCAAATGAAGATCAAATTAAACATTTAAAACTAGGTGGTGCATAAGAAGTAAATGAGAAGTAAATGTTGAACTTAACAAAAGAACATTTTTATTTTGTTGTAAAATTAAAAAGGAGAGAGCCTTTTGAAGACAATGAGAATTATTATTGTTTCTAAAAGGTGACGTTATTACAAAGGTTACTGCAATTTACTCAGTTTTTGTAATTAGCATAATGGACTTAGGACTACATAATTAGACATTCCCTTCGCTGATTTCATTCATCCCGTTTTTTAGCATAACTTTCACCTCAGATCATTCCATATAAGCTAAGTAGTTTATTAATTAAACTAGTTGCACAACACATTTATGAGTTTTGGATGAAGATTAGACAAACCTACTCACACATGGGCTACTGTAGCTATGTCAGTATTTGTAACCTGCGATCTAACTTTCGAGACAAAAGAACATAGAAGAAAATGCAACGAAGCTTTGCCGCGCCTAAGAAGGTTTCATGTAGAGGGTCATGGAAATAAAAATAATAATAATAATAAAAAAGAAACAAGAAGTAGAAGAAGAAGGATTGAAGAAGGTTCACAGTGTAGGGGAACTCACATATTAGGGACGCCACGAATCCATGGGAACAGTCATGTGCTCTTGCATGGGTTGGAGGAACCTCCTTTTTATCCCATGGTGTCCTAGAGAGTTTCTAGAAAAATACGTTTCTTTTTCATGATTCATTAAGAAAATAAAGGAAGAACTAGTTTAATGGAAATCGCTCCTCGAGCAACCGGCTCTCCATATGCGATGCCGTAAAGTATTTCTTACAGTTAATTATAACTTATTGTCCTTAGTAAAAAAATAATCAATCAATCAAAGAAGCTTTCTGTCAATCACAGACATCTCGTCTTTTAAACCTAAAATATATTCACGATTTATATAATCTCTTTAAAAATAAATAACATTATCCAGGTAAAATGGCTACATTATAGAACGTGGCACGTTGTCTTGTTAAGTCTTCAATTAGATTTTAACGGTCTAAATTCCTGAAGTTACGCTTAGGTTTTTTTATATCCTCAAATAAACATTGATGTTTAAATTAAAGTACTTCATTAAAAAACAATCAACCATTTACTTTACCAACCTGAATAATCAGGGATGCACGTAGGATTAGTTTCAAACGTCTGATTCTTTAACTTTTTATTTTTATTAATTTAATTCAAGTATAATTGATATTTCTTCAACTTATTTATTATAAACTACACCTGAGAAAAGATCGAGTGCCTGTTTAGCTTAGTGCAAGACCATGAGCAAGACTCAAGCTCCCCGGATCTATTCCGTGGGTGAACCAAGGGCTACCGCACCGCCACCAACTAGGTGGATTTTCTCTTCCTGGACTTGCTTTGTCTCTCACAGTGACATTCAAACCCTCTGAAAATGTATCAGGTCTAGCCGTCTAGGTATAGAATCAACAGTAAAAAGCTCTAGAATTATAATTGCTTGTGTAGGGTTAGATGGGAATTTACTGATATAGGTTTCTGATGCCTGGTAACATGACCAGCCTTGCCAGGCTATGGAAACGCATCTCTCTATCGAACAAGATTCTCAATTCCCGGAATATGGTTCCCTGTTTCTGGAAAGAAAAACATGATGGAAAAATATTCCTATCCATGTCAAATCCAAAGCATTGAACTTATCATGCACCTTACAAGGCGAGAGTTAGCAGCACAATCATGCATGATCTCTAGCTGTTAAAATTTCGTTTTCATGGGCAGACGTGTGGTAAATACTGCGAAATCAGCAGACGAGTCCTGGTGAGTTTTTCGATGGAGAGGGAAAATAAAAAAAGGAGGAGGATTATGTACAAGGAACCTTACCTAATTGGAGGCACGTACCAAAATTGACCTGCGGTGGAGCCCCTTTTTATAATTACAGGTCAGTTTTTGATGCACAACTCAAGATTTCATTCTCACAGCTGGATTATTCTACCAGCAATATGCTTTTTCTTCCTTCTCCTCCTTTTTTTGCCCCCAATAAGTATTATCATATATTTTCAGGGCCGGAAGCCCCACATAAAAACACCGGACAGAGCTGCACACGGGTACTGTTCTCCTGGGAAGGGAGAGGGAGGGAGGGGAGTTAATACATGACTCCGTGTGGGAGCAATAATACTTGGTGACACTAATTGTGGATGAGACTCTTGTGTTGACCAATTTTGTCTGTATGTGTGTGTCTTTAGTTTGGCATCTCTCTCGTGAGTCTTGCTGTCTCTACCATTTGGAGCGGCAGTTTGATGGCTCCATGGCCCCCTGTCTTCAAGGTTTACTTTTTTTTTTTTTTTAATTTAAAGTTCGATGGAAGTTCTTATAAAAATTTATTAGTTTCTTGGATTGTGTTAAGTCAATATAGGAGATGTGTGTTTGAAATTATTTAAACAAAGAATTTAATATTGGTTGGTGTGTAAATTTATCTAAATATACTTCTTATTGTAAAATAAAAATAATTTAATGTCTTCGTTTTAAAATAGACACTACTGGTTCGCTAAAAAGTTAGTAAAAATAATTGATGGAGTGGGATACGTTAATTAAGGGATTGTTAAGTATTATTTATGGTTTTCATTTTTCATTTTTTTAGTCTTTTTAAACATTAAAAAAAAATCTGTCTTTTTCGAATTTTTTTATTTAAAAAAACAATCCTTTTATAGCAATTTCTGAAACCGACTTTGTTGGGATTTGCGAAATCTTGCCAATTAAATTCTATTTTTTTGAAACAGAAATAAAAGGAAACAACTGTTAAGTTTTTTTTTTTATAAAAAAACAAAGACAATAACACCGAGCAACTCCTGAATTAAAATGTTTTGCTCATTATTTATTTATTTATTTATTAAAAAAGCGAACTCCGGGCTTGTTTCTAATACAGGAAGAAGACACGATAGAACTAATGAACTTAGAAATAGTTCCATCATTGATGTTTTTAATACAGGACTTGAAAGTGTTAGTTTGAGGTTTTTTTTTAATAAAAAAATAAAAACACACGCGAAGGAAATCATATTATCTTATTATTCTTTGGAAGAAAAAGAAAAAGGGTTCCCCAGCTAGCATAAATCTATTATTCTCTCCTGTCCCAAACTAACCCTTCCGAGTTGTCCCTTTTTTTAATTTAGTACAGCCAGGTCGGAGGGGCAGGCTCAGCAGTGAGAGTAGAACAGCATTTTGACCTCACTGGTACATGTTCCTATTAATGGCACCTCAGCCATTAATGAGACCCTACCACTCTCTTTTAACTCTCCCCGTCCTAAATTCTTAACTAAATAATTCATCACAGACCTTTTCTTTCTTGCTTTTGGACACAGTGCACTCTGTGTTTTTTTACGGATACCATGTAATTGTTTAAGATCTACCGTGTGGCTCTAAAAGACGGGTTTGATGGTATAAAAAAGTTCGTTTACTTTTTACTTTTTACTTCTTTAAGATTCAAATCTCAAGATCGATGTTTGTAAAAAAATAATTTAAATGTATCGGATGTTGTGTTTTAAGATTTATTAAGAAATAATCTTAATTGATATTCAAATTGATACAAGAATATAATTAACTGTAAACAAAATTCATTTATTTTTTCTTCAAATCAAATTTTTAGTGTTTTTATATTGTTTTAATGTGTTAATATCAAAAATAAATTTTTTTAAAAATAAAAAATATTTTAATATATTTTTAAATAAAAATATTTTAAAAAATAATTTTTATCACACTTCTAAATATATATTTAAAAAATAAACTGATAAGGTATTATAATTGTTGTAACGAGAGACTTTAAATACTGCATGCTAGGAAAAGAGTAAATTAGCAGTGTAAAGACTGTATTTTTTAGATTTTGCTTCGGTTAAAAGTAGATTGATTAAGACATATTTTTATATTATATCTTGTGTGATTGCATTTGGCACATCTATATTATGCTTGACCTATTCGTGATTTAATGTTGCGAGTTAGAACATGTGTTGTTTCTATTCCTAAAATTTAATGTTAAAGCAAATTTAATAAAGATTGAACATAATTTATTACACGTTATCAATTAATATTTCTACACTCAATTATATTAAATCAAATACAAATTTATAACAAATTAATATAATTTAAAAAAAATATTAATTCATAAACTTATCAACAATTCAATGAAAAATATAATATGTCATGATTCAATTATATTTATGCTCTATTGCATGAATATTTATGGGTATTTAACTATGTTATTGTTTAATTTTAATAACACATACAAAATTTCTAATCTAGCAACTTAATATAAATTAATTGAAATACATAATTAATTGATATAATTAATTCAATTTATTTTCATATTCAACTATATCTCTTCACCTAAAGATAAGTGAGTCACCTGTCACATGTAGCTTACTTCAATCACTATTAATAATTGTTTTTTGTGTAATTGGATTCATCTCGTCGATATATTTTTTATGGTATTGGTGGTATTATAATCGGAGTTTCAACATGCATATAAGACCTCTTCGTTTCTTTTTTTTCTCTTTGTATCATCTAATCTCATTATAATTATTTGTTTACTTTTGAATGACTTGCTCATATCATTATTGACAATCTTTTTTTATGTTATTAAATTCATTTCATTGATATTTTTTTAATGATATTGATAGTGTTGTAATTAAAATTTTCATATATCTTGAGATTCTTTTGTTTTTCCCTTCTCATTATAATCTTTGTCAACCCATTCAATATTTTTTTTAATTGCTGTATTTTTCTTTAGCAATGTCTTAAAATATAACGTTTTTCAATCGTGATATATACCAAACTATATTGTTTATATATATATATAAATGACTCATGTTATTTGTCCATTACTTTTCTGAATGATGTTGGTAAACCAAAATACCTTCTTTTTCTTCACATTCAAATACAACGTGCAACTCCATCGAGTGAAAGACCACTCTACTTGTACCACGAAGGCTGTTTTTTACCTAAAGAAAATGTCCATGACTTCTTTTTCTTTTTCTTTTTTTACCAAAAAAGGCTTCACGAACTTTCTTTGGATTATAAGATGAGAGAGTAGCTCGTTTTTTTGTTCAAATTCCTTGCTTGCCTCATTCACAATTTGAATCTGAAATATTCTCAAGAAAATATTATTAGAGAGTTCTTTGTATTCAGAAAGAATGATAAGCTCACACTCATATTAGACTTGAGAGTGATATTAATAGGTTGTGAGAACTTAGAGTTTAATAGATCAAAGACTCATTGTATATATAAATATATATACTTTCATTTATTTTCAATACAAGAGATTTAATTACAAATTATATGCACACAGAACAAAAAATCCATTATTTTTCTTTCAATTATATAAGCCAATTTAGTGATTTTTACATTCAATAAACTAGGTTCATGTTTGGCAAAACGTTCAAACAGAGCTCGAAAGTATTTTTATAAACGTGTCGAGGATGAACAAACACCATATTGATTTTATTTTCTTGATCTATTTTATGTGATTATGACATCTAAATATCAAAATGATCTCATTACAAACTGCTCGCTGTCGGGTTTTTTCCCCTGAAGATGCGTAGAGGATTTAAATATTTTCATGGATTGCATTGATTTTCCGACGTGAACACCCAGGATTGACTTCTATATTAATTCTAATCATTTCGTAGTTTTTTTAAAGGAGAAGTCAAGAGGACACTAACACTTCGTTACCCCATCTCTTTTATGCGGCCAAGAGCCTAGGAATTAGCATGATGACCTTGTCTGGATCACGCTCGTTTGAACAGAACATGCCCTTTCAAATGGACGGCGGAGGAAGCAAAGACTATAGTAATAACAAATCAGTGGTCAAACCGAATCCGATCCCATCATCAATGCGATTTTGGATATCATTTAAATCATAAGTTAGTACCACTGCTGCTTTTTTGTTTTTTATGCATAGATTTGGATTGTGAACTTTCTTCCCAGTCGCAGTACGTTACCCTTCTCCCCTTGAAAAGCCCTGTTGTTCTCGGCGGTAGGTTTTTTAGCAGCAGATATCACCTAAAATCCTATATACAGCATAATACAACTATACTGACTGTTAGCCATATTTTTCTTCCTTAAAAAACATCAACTTAAGGGGAAAAGGAGTTCAATTTCCTCTAACGTTAGTAGATTTTTCTTTTTTTTTAAAAAAAAAAACTGGGCATTTCATGAAGTCCTTCGTATGAAGAGGGGGGGGGGGGGAATACAATTACTCTGATATTAGTGGACTGTTTTTTATTTTTGAAAAATATAAAGATATTTAGTTATGAAATTTTCTCAACATGAAATAAAAATATATAATATTACGTGAAAATCTTGCTCTGCTAAAAAAATAATTTTAACTTTTACTTATTATTAGTTCTAATTGTAATAACTTATTTATTCAATAAAGTTGCTTTAAATATCTTTTTTAGCTTTTAGTTTGACTCAGTTTTCATAAAATATATTGAAAAGTATTTTTTTAATATTTAAGGTGAAAATCTGCTTCTCCTTGGTCATGCTAAATGAATTCTTGTTCACCTCATGTGTGTTCAAGAATAAAATACTCCTAACTACCTAAGTGATCTCATGTGTTTGTATGAAATTCTTACTCGATGATATTTAGAATATTAATTATAGATCGATAAATTTATCTTTCTCTAATTGAAAAAAAAATCTTAGCCATCCGCATTTATTTCTTTTAATTATATAGAATTAAGTTCTTGTGATTTTTTTTAAAAAAGTTTATCCAAAATTGCAAATGATATAACATATGAAATGTCAGATTTGTAGGAGATGTTTAGAAATTTTACCCACAGTAAATTTAATGTTGAGTGGACTCACGATAATCACTTATAAATGGTTATAATGTCAGGCAAATTGTGTACCAAGTGCACGGAATATTATGTGCAAACTATTACGACTATGCACACTTCCAAGACATTGCAAGGAGCTGTCCAAAAATAACAGGCAAACTCCACGTCTTCTAAGCCCTTGTCATGTTCCCTTTTCAGAACCATCATGTAATTCTCTTACAGCATGTAACATGTATCCTTTGAATTCAAGTTAAGATTTTTTTTTAATGGGATTCTATATTTTAAATTATTTTAAATATCAATAATTAAATTCTAGAATTCAATCTCTTTGAATGATATAAAAACAAATAAGACGTCAACCCATTTGATTTACTACATCAAGGAGAGGAGATTAATGTTACAACTTAGAACTAGCCTTTCCAAACTAATCATCCACCAATCTTTTTTCATTACTCTTTTCTTTGTAATATAAGAAACAAGATCAATTGAATTCAATGATATAATATTTATTTAAAACATGTAAATTTAATCTACTCTATTAATTAAAGTCAAATTATGAACTAGAATTGAGTTCATCTATAGTAAATAATTAATTCTGGAGAATTTCAGTGTAATTTATTTTTAGACGGGAATGTTTCACAAAATAATTCAGGGAGGGAATTGATTTGTATTAGTAGCTGGCGAAGTTATGATTGGAACCAATTATGGTCCAAAATATCCCTTTTTCCGAAGGCAACTTCAAAAGTAGCCATACCAACATCATCACGAAATAAAAGAGGGGGAGAAGGCATCTAAACAAGGATTATGCCTTGGGCAAGTAAAGAATATCCTAGAGGTTGCTCCACGAGAACAGCGACTTGTAATTTATTTCAGAATTCAAAACAAATTAATCAATCTCTCTTATTTCAGAAATTATAATTTAATCCTCCAACTTTAGTTGTCTAGTTGTCCATGGCTAATTCATCACTATTATTAACCTATTGTAGTAAGATTTTTTCTATCCCGCTGGTGTTTGAAGCGTTATTTAATTCTATTTTTTAAAAAAATAATTTTTTATATTTTATATTTTTAAATTGTTTTAATGTATTGATATTAAAATAAATTTTAAAAAATAAAAAATATTTTATTTTAATATATTTTGAAATAAAAAAATAACAAGAAGTGATTTTATAAAAAAATATTAAAAATAAACCAAGATCAAAAGTCAAACACAAAAAAATAGAAATAAAAGGTTAAAAATTTAAAAAAAAAAAACCTCGTTAATGAGTAGCATCTCCCGTCCTCTCAAAGAGTCTCTGAGTTCGAACCTCTATTTTAGAAAGAAGGGCATTGAGAAAAAAAAAAATTAAATTGAATGATGGCTCAGTGCTCCATGAAACCCACATAATTATTAACATAATTAAATCACTAAGGGAGGAGGCATTTAGTTTTCGAAGGTTGAGGTTTTGATATACTGCTTTATAAGAGTGCTAGGGATTAAAAGTTATAATTTTTTACGGTTTAATTATGTTTTTTTAAATATTTTTATTCAAACTATATATTTTTATAATTTTAGGGTTATTTTGATATTAAAAATAAAGTTTAAAATAATAATAATAAAAATATCATTTAAAAACCTTTTTAAATAAAAAGATAATTTAAAAACAACCCCTATAACAGTCTTTTAGGTAAAAAGTCCCCCAGCCCGGCCGTCGCCTTTATCCAAGAGAGAGAAAGCATATCTATCTAAATTAATAAAACATCTCAAAATCTATCTTTGACCATCGTACTCTCTCTCTCTCTCTCTCTCTCTCTCTCTCTCTCTCTCTCTCTCTCTCTCTCTCTCTCTCTCTCTCTCTCTCTCTCTCTAACTTTGAACAAGTAGCAGATTAGTAATCGAGTCTCTCCCATTGCCTTCGGCATCAACATCACCTCCCTCGCTCTTTTATTTATTAATACCAAAAGCCAAGCGTTTTCCCCTTGTGTTAACACCCCTTCCCTCCCCTCCACCGAGATATTATATGCCCCTCTTTATCTCATCTCTTCCGTTAACCATACCTCACGCAGATTCAGGTGTTATTTCCTGCCAGACAAAGACAGAGACCCACCCATATAGCTGTTTTTTTTTTGAATTACCAGTATTACCACTTCTTCTCCTACTCCTCCTTTCTTTGTTCTTGATTTCGATTATCTGATCGGACGGTCACGATCTTGTTTATATTCTCCTGCAAAGGCGTACGGCCGGGGATCTTTCTTTTTGTCAGCCATTATTTTCTTACGTAAGTGCACAACAACAAAAAATGAAAAGAAAAGAAAAGCCCGTTTAACCTTTTCAGACCACCTTTCTGTACATCTGTTTAATTTTCCTCTTTCTCCTTTAAACTAAATATTTACACTTTTTTTTTTTGGTGATTTCAATCTTCAATTAAATAAAAATACCAATCCCGTTTCCGAAAACAAGACCTTTGTTTTTTATTTTTCACTCTATCAATATACAATAATATTATTCGTTGTTGTCATTTCTTCTCGGTTTCTGAATCTTACATAAATATGCGTGCACGTGATTGTTTGTGCATATGTTCTTTAGAAATGGGGCGTTTCTTGTTTCTCTTTTCAAGGCTTTCTTGATTGCATGCAATGATTTAATTTTGAATTATTTGATACCTTAAGTTGTGATATAGTTCTGTATTTAATCATATCATATTTCTCTTGTGAATTTGCTTTTGCAATTTGAAGTGGCAGGTGTGTTTTATTTGTTTATTTTTGGTTTTTGTTCTAACCATTGTTGATTTTCTGTAAATTCTACAATGTCGTGTAACTGTCGACATTTCTGGGTTACTTATGAAGACATTAAAAACGTTTTTTTAAAAAAAAAAACATTTCAAAATATCTTTTTTCCCCATGAATTTTGGTTTGTTTGTAAAGATGGGGTATATCATTTTAGGGAGTAAAGATGCCTTTTATATGGTAGTTACATGACTGCTAGGTAACTAACTGCCTCATATTTCCTGTGGGGTCTTATTCTTTGTACTATTTATTTATTTATTTTAATCCCTGATTTGCATGTATTGTAAGCTTAATAGCCTTGTAATAAAAAAGAAAAAGAAAAAGGTTGTTTCTCTATGCCTTAGTTTTGACCACTTGTAGTAATCTTTTTCCAATCATTAAGGGGTTTTAATATTGTAACTCGTGTGCAAGGTTAATGTGTTCTCTTGAATGTGAGATTTAGTTCGGTTTATTCTCTTAAATTTTAATGCCTTGGATTTTGAATCCTGTAAAAGTCTAAATTCTATTCATTCATGTTTTTAGAAAATTTAATTTTTTTTATTTAATTTTTTTATATATTTTTAAATCTTTTTAATATACTAATATTAAAAATAAATTTTAAAAAATAAAACAAATATTATTTTAATATAAACACAACATCTGCAACATTTTCAAACAATAATATGGTTAAGCCGTAGCAGATTTTTGATACTGGCTATAATAGTACAGGGGCTTGGAGTTTTTTGACAAGTCTTCTACACTGTCAAATTTACCCTTGAACCATCAGGCTTCTTAAAAAAAAGGAAAAGAGATAGATGATTAAAAGAGTTAAATGGAACTCAGCTTAAAGTTTGGATCTTCTTTAAGGGTCTTGTTGACCAAAGTTTCTTTATATTTAGTCAAACAACTTAAGAGGTAGTTTTGGAATTGGATACGTTGCTATAAGATCCCTACTTCCCTGTTTAATCTTCTGGTGAATCGATTAGGTGTATAGAATATTGGTTTTTCAGATGAGAGCTTGCAAGAAATGGGTTGCGTTCTGATTTTAGAACGTCAATCAAAGACGATAATTACTTGTAGGGTAATCTGTGGGGCCATACTTTTATGCAGGATGACGTGGTTGGTATTATGCTTAATTACTTTGATTGGAATGTTTCTGAATTCTTGTACCTTATGTTTTGTAATGTTTTATGTTCCTTGTATCAATAATGTGGGTCATGAGTAGTAGTCCTATTGGAATTGAATTCAATCTTGGAAGAGAAAAACCATCATGTTTAATGTGGATTGGGGCCATGAAAATGAAAAACAGATTTTCCGTGCAAAAACTTCTTGTCTGTCTTTAGTTTTCTCATTTCATGAACTCCATTTAGGAATTTGTATTGTTTCCTGTATTGGCTCTAGTTACGGTGTCTAATCTGGACAAAATATATATCATCTTTTCAATTACAATTCCTGCATCCTTCTTGGAACTAGCTGTTTAGAGGAAATCAATCGTGACGTGTTCACAACTGTTGATCAGTGTTTGAACTCACAACAAAAGGAAGTCATATTAGCCTCTCCCTGTATTATGAAGTCTCTTACACGCATGTACTGTTGATATGAAGTGGAAGTTGTTGCTCATCTTTTGAATATGTTTTTCTTGTTTCCTTGCCGCTCTAAAATAAATAATTTACTGCCACATGCATTGGACTTGTTTTCAATCTTGCTATTTTTGTTTTCAATTGCTTGCCGTAGTTATTTTTTTATGGGTAAAGAGGGGCAAATTTGAAACCCCTCCCCCTTCATGGAACCATTTTCTGTCTCTTACTTTATCTATGATTTTCAGCGAGCAAGTTGCATCTCCTAAGCTCTGGCGATCATGGAGCTGAATGGTCTAAAGAAAGCGAGGAGAACGGACCATCTTGAACAAACAAATGGTGACCTGGCATTAACAAGTGTTGGTGCTGTAGATCCCTGGACTGCATGGGCATATAAGCCTCGAACTATTTCGTTGTTACTTATTGGTGCTTGCTTTCTAATGTGAGTGTCCTTTCAGATGGTTTTTACAATTTTATTAGTATCTGAAGTTGGTCAATCAACCTCTTTATTCTTTGGTAAATTAAAACATGGTATTGTAGATGGTTTACTGCAGATACTTGACCTCCCAAGTGTTTCTAGTGTGGCTGAATTGTTCTCTCTTTGTAATAATTTTGTTTCTCTCAAAGAGCCTGTGGGATCTGCCATCATCATGGATCTTCTATCCCCCCCCACCCCCCTGTCTGTATGGAGTGAAGCATTTGCATCTATTAGTAGTCAAAATAACAAGGAGTGAAGCATTTGCATCTATTAGTAGTCAAAATAACAAGGAGTGAAGCATTTGCATCTATTAGTAGTCAAAATAACAAGGAGTGAAGCATTTGCATCTATTAGTAGTCAAAATAACAAGGAGTGAAGCATTTGCATCTATTAGTAGTCAAAATAACAAGTTGTTTTGCAACTGTATTGGTGTATCCAATTGTTAGTCCTGGTTGAATGAGGGATGATGCACTTTGCTGTTACAGTTCCTTTCATAGGTCCGGAAAGCCACTCCAAATCCAGTTTCCCTGTTCACGTGAAATTCTTTGGCCTGTATCAAACAGAGGGCGATGCTCTTCATAATCTTAATCATAGGATTTTCTAAGTTTAACTAAAGAATGTTGTCCTTGGTTTCAGATTTCTGCTTTTTCTCAAAATTAATTTGGTTTCTTTTATATTTGGGTGTAATGTATCAAATTGCTTTTGTCAAATGATGGAGCCTTTCTAGAATCTGATTGATATTATTTTCTCTTGAAAAAAGTTCAAGCAATAAATGTCAGCATATTATGGAGCGTGTAACTTCTACTTTCACATCTTAATTTCGGACTGTCAGAGGATGCTTTCTTTCGGTTAAGCTGTGGTTGATATTGGGAATCTGTTGTTCTCTCTGTTATAAGTTTTGTCTCTTTCTCCCCTAACATCATCTGAACGCAAATGAATGAATCGATGCTCTGTGTGTATGCTTCTTATTAGTCTACCCACCGAGGGATGCTTTGTAAAGTTGTCTGCTTCAGTTATGAGTGTTTTTCTGTTTTTCATGGGATATAGGAGATTTTCCGATAACTGGTTGCTGTCTATGCAGAAGATGACCATGCATTTATTAAAAAAAGCCTAAGTCATGCATTGCTACTGTATTTCAAATAGTACTGTAATTCTTCACATACACAAGTTTTACTCATTGCCTCCGTATGTCATGACTAGATGGGCAAGTGGAGCCCTTGATCCAGAGATCAGTACATCTGGTGATGTTGTTACGTCTGTGAAAAGGTTTGTGCACGCTTGTTAATTCGGTACTTTTGCTTCGATACTATGAAATGCAAGCTTATGTTAAATGCCTCGTGTGCTATTTCTCACAGGGGTGTATGGGCAATGATTGCAGTTTTTCTTGGTTATTGCTTGCTACAGGCCCCCTCGACGTAAGTTGCAGGATTCAGCTATCATGAAATTTAGTTTTATGTTATTACTTGTTACTGAATGTTGAATTGTTAACGTATCTTATGGTTCTTTGGTCACTTGATATTTGAGAGTTTGAAGCTCTGCTTGTAAGTGTTTGATTTATTTGTTGGGCTTTAGTGCACCAACAATATCTAATTATAGATTGTTACTTTTCAGGTACTTTTAGGTTTTAATATAATTTGGCTGTTGGCATACTAATCTTTATGGATAGACTTCAAAACAGTGAGCTCTTAACACATGCAGATTTTTGTTTTCTTACAGGATTCTAATAAGGCCACATCCAGCAATCTGGCGTTTGGTTCATGGATTGGCTGTTGTTTATCTTGTTGCCCTAACATTTTTGCTTTTTCAGGTTGGTTTTCTTTTTGTGAAATTAACTTCCCTTCTTGTGCATGCTTGGATTTTGGCATGTATTTAACCAGATGTTCTTCATTTCTTATGCACCCTTCATGAACTAATTTTTTTACATACTTAATAGATTATCTGTGCGATTTAAAGTATAATTACTGATTGAAGGTTTAAATTTCTTCGTCGCAGAAGCGTGATGATGCTCGGCAATTTATGAAGTTTCTCCACCCTGACCTTGGAGTTGGTAAATGCTTCGTGACTTACCAAAACCATTGAAAGAAAATTTATTAGTTGTTGATGAATCGTTCTGTACTGCACTCGCATTACATTTGAAAGTTGTCTTACACATCTCATTCTCATGTTTGATGGGATATTGGCATCTTGTTTGACTATCTCAGTTATTGTTTGCCCTTGTTTATGCAGAACTACCTGAAAGATCATATGGTGCTGATTGCCGCTTTTATGTGCCAGAAAATCCTACAAGCAGGTTTAAGAATGTTTGGGTATGATCTCCTTTGTTAGGAACCCATGTCCCCCCTCTTTGATCTCTCTCTCTCTCTTTGTATTTACATTATCTGGATGTAACCGATTTCTGATTTCTTTAGTTCTTTCTAGGACACTCTTTTTGATGAATTTGTTCTAGCGCATATCTTTGGATGGTGGGGCAAGGCTATTTTAATCCGTAATCAGCCACTTCTGTGGGTATTGTCAATTGGATTTGAGCTGATGGAGGTTAGTATCTAGCTCATACCAACATTTTCTTTTTTTGGCCTTTGTTGTTTTCAGCTTCTTAGTCCCTGAAATGTTTCCTCAACTATATGTTCAATCTGCTCTGCTTCCCACTAATTCATTACTGGTATTTTCAGTTTACCTTCCGTCACATGCTACCAAACTTCAATGAGTGCTGGTGGGACAGTATCGTTCTCGATATTTTGATATGCAATTGGTTTGGTGAGAATTCTTGATCTGCTGCTCCTTTTCTTCTTATTTGCTTTGTCAAGCTGTACCATTTTAAACTGTCATTTTGTTGAAATGCTAATTGTTTGTGGCTATAAAGTCTGGTGATAGGAGGTTTCAGGTGTTTGAAGAAGTTTTGATGAGGTTTGTTTTGATTGGAGAGGAATTCTAGATTACTGAAGTGACTAAAATTTGGACTTCCACTTGGAAGTCACGCATCCAAATCTTGGGAGGGGTGATATGGGAATCTAAGGATTTGAGGAGGGTTACGCCTCCATTGTTTAGCCTAAGGTTAGTTGACCCCTGAATGAACCAAAAGAAAAAACATTAATATCTGTCAAATGGAATGGTAGTTTGCTTGGTGGTGACCCAAATTTGTCTTTGCAAAATATTTAACCTTCGTTTAAATATCTCACTGGTTGAGAATTGACAAGAGGTCAGGTGGGGTTGAAGTCCTTTTCTTGGCTTGCATGTCCTTATGCAGCATATGACCATTTAGATGCACGGGTTGGAAACCATCAACCTTGACCTGACCCCTGTCATAACATGTCAAATCCACATCCACTCTTCATAACTGGAGCACTGTGTCAGGCTATTTAATTATTAATTTTTTTCTTCTGGGATTGTTGTTAATCATGGTATCTTGATAGCACAATCTATTCAGGAAAATTTTAGATACGATCAGTCAGGTGCACATGGAGCCCGAATAAGCTAGGTCGTTGAGCAGTTCAATGACGCAGTTCTAACTTTACCAGTTAATATAAATGACTAAAAAACTCGATTTTATCTGCAAAATACTTCTTGATTGAATGGCTTGGTTGAAATTTCTAATAACTTTAGTTGAGGATATATTGAAGTAGCTTGATAGATGCTCTATAAGGTTAGGCATCAACTCGCTCATCTCCTATGAAACATGATTGTATGGCGGTTGCTTCCATTTGTGTAACTGAAGGACCATATAATTG